AATAATTACAAGGGTAATAATATTAAATAGTATTAAGTGTGACCTTATTGCTATTTTCTTGGTGTAAGGAAGATTTAATACTTTCTGAAATATTTTCTTTATTTACTCTGTTTAATTAACACTGCTGTCAAGGATATAGAGGAAATGAATCCATTTCAGTTTGAAATATTTAACTAACTTTTGAAATACTCCATTTTTATTAGTTAGGTTTTTGCTTTCACTCACTCAATAGTGTAATCATAACCTGAATTATTGAAACTTTCAAGTCCGCTAATCTTTTTGATTAGAACATTTTTTTATTATTACACTATCAGTGAATGCCTAATATATGATTGTTTTTCTGTTAAAAAAAAATGAAACAAAACATATGTTGATATACGGTGGCTTATATTGTTAAGATGAAAACCTGTGTCGTCGTAAAGTTGAAACAAGTAGCCTCACGCTACCATCCGAATGCCTTACTTTTCAAGGTACGAGACATCTGTGCTGGAAGTTTAAACTTTTTTCCAGTCACTAGTGTTTTCGTTCAACTGAAAATTCAAGATCTGAGTCTCGCCTGGTTAACTAGTTTACTAGTTACTAGCCGGTCCTAAGCCGGGTAAAGAGGGAAGGTTGGGCACACGGCTAGAAACCCTACCCCGTAAAACAAATCTAACCGCTAAAGAAACTTCAAAGCACAAACAAAATATAAAAAATGAAAACAAACCTATTCCCCGCTGGAATCGGAGAGGCGAAATGACGCCAGTTGGTGAAAGCCTGCCTTCGGGAAGCCAATTGGCCGATGTGTCTTCTCTCTCTCGATGAAAGCGAAAGTTAACGTGGGGACATGGAATGTCCGCACGATGTTTGAACCCAGTAAGGCAGCCCAGATTGCAAAGGAGATGAGAAGGTATAACATCGAAGTCCTTGGGATTTGCGAAAGCAGATGGAATGGCAGTGGACTCTCCAAACTGTCAACTGGAGAATCAATAATCTACTCCGGTCACCCAGGAGCCAACACGAGCACACTGAGGGAGTGGCTATCATGATGTCCTCAAGAGCATCGAAGGCTCTCATGCAGTGGGAACCAATCTCCTCTCAGGATCATGACAGCAAGATTCAACTCAAAAAGAAGGAAGGTAACAATCATACAATGTTATGCACCTACAAATAATGCAGAGCAAGAGAAAAAGGAGGAATTCTACAGACAACTTCAATCAACACTGGACAAGACGTCAGTTGGCGATATCAAAATTCTAATGGGCGACATGAATGCCAAACTGGAGGGGACAACACGGGGAGAGAACTAACCATGGGTCGAGAAGCGCCAGGTGAAATGAATGAGAATGGAGAATTGTTTGCAGAATTCTGCGCATTCAACGATTTGGTGATTGGAGGCAGTGTGTTCAGGCACAAGATATCCACAAAGCGACATGGATTCACCAGAGGACACACTAAAAATCAAATCGACTTTATCTCAATCTCAAGAAAATGGAGACGCAGTCTACTTAACACAGGTCAAGAAGAGGAGCAGATGTAGTTCACACTCACTATCTAGTGCAAGGACCTTCCAATCAAGTTAAAAGCCTTCAAGGAAGCTGGTGATAGACCTCAAGTACAACACTCGGAAACTGAAGGATGAAACTACAAGGAGATCTTCAAGGCAGCCATCAAGACAAAGGGAGATATCGAGCAACATCCCTGAAGAAACCTGTGTGGAAGAACACTGGAAGTCTTGAAGCTATGTGGAAAGAACCTGCACAACAGTATTAGGAGAAGAAGAAAGAAGACAAGGAATGGATCTCGACGGATACCTGGAAGCTGATAGAGGAGAGGAGGATGGTGAAGCAGAAGATAAACCATGCAAGGATGCTCAACGACAAGAGGAACTGAGCACAATGTATAAAACACTGGAAGAAGTGAAGAAGAGTGCACGCAAAGACAAAAGACACTTCTACGAAACACTGGCAAGTGAAGCAGAACAGGCTGCAGTAAAGACCTGACGACATTGTATCAAATAACAGGTGCTATCAGGAAGAGACCAACACAGATGAAACCAATAAAGATGAAGAAGGAAATTTAATTACGAAAGAAGAGAAACAGAGGAACGATGGGCCGACCACTTCAAGAAGCTCTTGAATCGCCACCACTGCACTTCGTCCGAAATACACCTGCAGCCACTGAATTACAAGTGAACATTAATCCCCCAACGAAATGGAAGTCCTGAACGCCATAAAGCTACTGAATGTGGAAAGCAGCAGGACCAGATGGAATACCGCCAGAAGCACTGAGAACAGATGCAGAGACAACACGACATGCCACACCACTATTGCAGAAGGTGTGGAAGGAAGAAAGGTACCTGCGATTGGAAGAAGGGTTACCTTGTCAAACTGCCGAAGAAGGAGACCTCAGTGCTTGCAAGAACTGGCGCGGAATCACTCTCCTGTCCACCCAAGCAAAATTTGCCGCATCATCCTAGAGAGGCTTAAAGACGCACTGATTCAAACTGCGACCGGAACAGGCAGGCTACAGGAAGTACAAATCATGTGCAGACCAAATTGCAACACTACGCATCACATAGAACAGAGCATAGAATGGCAATCAGCTCTCTACCTCAAGTTCATCGACTTGAGAAGGCCTTTGACAGCGTCGACCGACAAGTAATTGGAAACTGCTTCAATACTACGGAGTACCGCAAACCTTTATCCGCCTCATTCAACAACTATATGAAGATGCCACATGCCAAGTAATTCACATGGAAGCTCAGTGATGCTTTCGAAGTGAAGACAGGAGTGAAACAAGGTTGCCTACTATCCCCATGATATTCCTTATTGTGGTGGACTGGATCATGCAGCAAACAGTAGGCAGCGAGAGAGGGGATACACTGGACGACGGAAAAGAACCTAGAAGACTTGGATTTCGCCGATGACTTATGCCTAATGTCACATAAACTTGAAGATCTGCAGGCAAAAACTACAAGTTGATAGAAGAGGCAGCTAAGACGGGACTTCAGGTGAATATAGAGAAACAGAGTGATGAGATACCGCACCACCACCATCAACAACAACAACAAACTCCATCACCTCAACGGGAGAAACTGAAGGAAGTAACCTCCTTCACTTATCTAGGAAGCACTGTTTCAACTACAGGCGGGACGGACGAGGACGTCAAAGTCAGAATCGGAAAAGCAAGACAGGCGTTCATTAGCCTGAAACCAGTGTGGAGATCTCTGCACTCAGCATGCGGAACAAGATAGGATTTTCAACACCAACGTCAAGTCAGTGCTTCTGCATGACTCAGAGACTGGCGCGTCACGAAAGGCATTTCCAATAAACTACAGACATTCATCAACAACTGCTTACGCTCGCTACTGGAGATCAGATGGCCAGAAAGAATAAGCAACAAGGAACTCTGGGAACGACCAACCAAGAACCTATCACGCAACAAATATGCAGAAGAAGTGGAGATGGATTGGCCATGCACTGAGAAGGCCGACTGAGGACATCACGCGTCAGGCCCTCGAGTGGAATCCCCATGGGAAGCGACGAGTTGGACGTCCGAGGTGACATGGAGAAGATCGTGCGAGGAGGAAATGGAGCTTCTGGGCTGTCGTGGGACCAGGTTCAAAAGATCTCAGAGGTCACGGAGGCGTGCTACTGAAGCCCTATGTTCCACTAGGAACCCAAGGGACTAATAATATAAATCAGGAGGCCAATGGTTTGAATCCTGTCACGAATCAGATTTTCATTTCACGTTCAATCACTATCCCGTATGGATAAAATCAGTTTTGAAATAATGGAGAATATTTGTATCTCAGGTGGATGATCTTGGTTGTATTGTGTTCTCTGAGCTGGGTTGTTCAATCGTGAAGCTTTCATCGTCTTTCTGGACAACATCATCAGCACTAACTTCAGTATGAAGTGCTTCATACTATATGATTTCTGAGAAGTTTAGTGTTACCTACCGTATTTAATTAGAACGCTAGACATTCACATACACAGTTTGACATGGATGAACACATCGTAACTGCAATCGCTGTGAAATGGGTGCGGTTGACTAGAAATACTTCACAGATTATTGTCACTTCAAAACAATTCATATAAATATAAATCATTTCGCCCTCACTGAAATCTTCACACATTACGATAGGTTCTATATGATGATTCGACAATTACTTGATTCATCGAAAACTGAATGATGATTCGATAACTGTGGAAGTGTGGTTTATCGCCTTAAACAAGTGATGGGTCCTAAGGTCAAATCCTGCTCCACTTACTTAAATCTGGTGGTAAGTATCAGAAGCCTTCACAGGATTAGTGCAGTTTATACCTCAGTATACTGGTACCGCAGTTGAGTTGCATCATAAACAATGATAATGATGACTGACAATTATGAACTGTATTGATCTTCCTATCATGATATACTTGCGTTAACTCATGAACATTACCCTTAATTTGAACATGCCAGTAGTCTATATGGAAAGGAACAAACAATTATATCTAACCAGACAATCATCTGTACACTTCAGCGTTGGGTATCAAAACTTTTGAGTACGAAAAGAGTAGAAACGAATGAATTGACAAACCTAGCATAAGTGGACTAGTAAGTATCATCAATGCAAACCTCAAATGATGGTGAAATCGCTAACCAATCCGCCTAACTGACATCTACTTCATAACAGGAACCAATCGAATTCAGTGTTCTTAAGCACATGAACGTAGGCAGTGGTATTTTAAGCCTGAATGTTTTCGACTAACTATAATTTTTAAATTTCCTTTCATTACATACATGTTTATTTTCTTTCCTATCCACCTGTTCCTTGTTTACTATTGTGAAATGTGGTAACTTGGACTGGTGCACTTGTATGCGAGGTTCTACGTTGATTTCGTCTCTCTGGAAATACATCAGCTTATAAATTCACTAGTCAAATATCGGTCGGTAAATCATCAAAGCCAACATTTCAAGTTACGAACTTCTCAAAACCTCTTCACCGAAAGAAACGACTTTAAAAACCAGCAAAACAAACGACTTAAAGAAGGTTTTAAAATTGACCTTAAAGCTTTTTAAGAGTTTTGTTCTTCATGTATACCAAGAGATGTACAAAAACCAAATAATTTGGAAATAGAAAAAGTGTGTACAAAGTCACCACCTCCTACTTATGCGTACATACACGTATACATACAAAACTTAACGAATGTAAAAGCACAAACCAAGCTAAACATAAATATATCTACATGATTATCACTAGCAGCTCAAAAAGAAAACAATATCTATCTTTCATTTAGGTGAATAAAATAGTGAAGTAAGAACAAGGAAAACTAAATCACCTCTTCAAATAAACCAAAAAAACAAAGAAATGATACCGAAAACTCGAGATTATAAATATATAGGATATGTGACGACAACGACGCATAATAATGAGATTAAACACTCTCTGTAGATAGACGATGGTACGCCACCTTGTTACTAGTATAACCACCACCACTGCCAGTGTTGCCAATTAGATTACGTGCATAATAGCCACTGTACACACCGTACAGCATATGCTAGAAGATGAAAGGTATAAAGGAAACAGTAAACAGATAAAGTGTAATTCACTTATCAATTAAATTCGTGATAATAATAATTAACGAGTAATATGAAGTAGACAAGAAAAGTGGACAGATATACTTCGAAAAAATGTGTTTTCTATAAAAACCAATCACATATCGCTTTTTGATCATCTGTCTCCATTTAATTTACTCTGTTTCACTTGGATTACGAAATGAAAGAGTCATTCGATAACCAGTTTGACTGTCTATGACTTTTGGTTACTTTGTTCTAATCTAAATGTGACCAATTGAATCGTTACGCAATAATACCAAGTATCACTTTGATGATGACTAACTGAAAAGCTAAAAGTTATGGCCGCGGAACATTATTCAATCACCAGCGGTTCAGTGGTCTTTAATTTACTGCTGACGAGAACTAAGGTCGGTTTCGGACTTCAGTAACCGACTTCATCAAAAAACACCGAGTAAATCGTTAATTAACACATATATTACTTTACTATTGGTTATATATACCACCAACCATATGCGTATGCCTACATGAGGCAACAAGACATATCCGTTCTATGAACGTTAATGATACTGACCGTCAAAACCACAGCAGCCTGAGCGGAATTGAAACTCAAGACCAATAGTTTGAGAGCTAGATGCTTAGATAGATGATCTACAGCTCCACACACACACACACACACACACATCTAAATATGTATAGGGTGGTAATTGAAGGTGAAATCATAATTTGGACCGCAGTCGGATTCCAAACCAGCGACCAGCTCAGTTGGCAGAGGACTAGGCCGGAAACCTTGTGGTCACCGGTTCGAATCCCACCGTGGCCCGAATTCTCATCTCACCTTCAATCATCACCTAGTATAAAACCAAACCATGGCTATACCAGATAGTCAAAATGACATAAATATATACATGCACACTTATTGAGCTACTGCTCATAGGCGTAAGCATTCCGCTTTCAGTCACTAGGTTACTTCCGTTTACTGAGTTTTGAGAAGCTATCTAGTCTTATCAACTTCGAAACGTCCACATCATTCGTCACTGTATAACCTGTTTACGTACGGCGTGGCATTCACTGACTTGAGAAAAAGTTTGGTGAACAAAGTCATTCGAACTGACCAATCATTACCACTACTTTGAAAGCATGCACTTTAAAACTTCAAAGTGTGCTGCCGATAATCATTTATGAATAAAATAGAGAGCAATAGGGACAAACATACTTAGTACAAGAATATAACAGAATTTCTTCCACTTTTCAATCTATAAATACCACCTGAGTGACTAATTAAACTACTGTTGGAGTCAGCGTTGAAACAATTTAGATCAAATAATATAGTATTGTCATAGTACACAGAAAGGAAAGAAAATCACTGACTTTCAGTCTTAACCATGACTAAACATCGATTCATATTTGTCCATAATACAATGTATTTCATCTTCTCTATAAAATAACCATTTCATTTTATTGAATGAAACGTGAGAAATTAGTGAGTCAGTATACAATGTGTTAGTTTTCGTAATCGTTACCCAGTCCGCGTTTTGAGAATATTCATAACTCGATTGAAACACCATTCAATAATCCTATGTAATGTGTACATATCACTCAGTTACTTCATATCCTAACGCTTTTGGCATAATAATCGATTAGCCTGAAGTCACTACCCTCTCTCATCCCCAAAATCACTCTAGAATGACTTTTTTTATAACAAATGTTATGTATATTCAGGTAGCTCAATCATTCTACATGATTGAAGTGTGTAATAGGATTATGCAGAGTAAGAGACACTCTGAGAAGCATTGACGAGCGTAGGTACATTACAGGTATTAGTATCATGCGGAAACAAAGAATAAGTCATGTTGAAGTGACTTCAGCTATTCTAGTTAACAAAGTGAATACAAATTTGACCGATTTCCATGGAACAGAAGTAAATTTGAAGGAATAAAACTCCTATTACTGCTAACAAGTCGGGTTATGACTCATTGGTTCAAGGAGTTGTCTTTCAACCATTAGTGAGTCACAAGTTTGAGCATTGCTCCAGCTACCAAGGTTCGAATGCATGAATATGCACAAGAGTGGAGTCCGAATTTCCCAGCAAAACAAGTATCTGTCTGTCCATAATGAAAACTGTTTTTAGGAAGATTTAAACTGAAACTGTGTTACTTGCAGGCTATGCATAATGAATTTCATCTGTAAACTATGCATGATCAATTACAGTACACTGGTTAACACTTTTAAGTTTTTCTAAAACTTATTACTTCATTTCAAAGTGATGTTTCACTATAGATTGACATCATTTGGAGAACTACTGAAAATGTTAAGGACCTCTTATTTCTATAAAACCAATTTATAATATGCATGTATTTTCACTGTAAAATTCAAACCTTATTTTCGCGCCTTTTTCGCTCTACGCGGTCTAAGATACTAAACGCTGGTTGGTTCACCTTACACTATTATTAGGCCATTTAGTTTTTTCTAGTCATGGCCCTTAAAAAAAATAGATAAACAACTGAACTCTCAGCTATAATCGCACTATTTTGGTTGGAATAAATATACTTTCAATCTCATCATCTTCTTCGTCTGGTGTTGAGAAGTTTTCGTTCGATAGTTATTCGTATCGCGTCGGAGCGATATATATATATATATATATATATATATATATATATATATATATATATATATATATATATATATATGTCACAGATCAAGACAGAAAACCTGAGTGCACTGAACAACTACCTCGCATTAGTTCCAGTGTTAGGAAACTTGAAAATCCAGGAGTTGGTCCTTCAGTTCACGACTGCGTACTGGAACGAAACAGATGTCCAGTGTTCTCAGATGTTTAAAGTGATAACTTTTTGTGATGAAACACTACTTTAAAACTAATCAATCTGCACAAACTATCAATTTTATCAATTCATTTATTCAATCACAAAAATATAGATTCATTTGGATCGAAGACAGAATCTTGAACATAACTATAAAATGAATTCATTGAACACTAATTTCTTTGACGTTCAATGAGTGCGTTATTTGCAGTCAATTAAATTTAATGTAAAATATACATGATATGAAAAAGTAAACTATCACTCCGATGAACTGTACTTTAAGAACTTACGCATAGAGGTTTCCAAACGCAGACAACAAGTACAGCTACAATACAGCAGATAACAAGGACATGAATCATAGATACATGGGGAAGATCTGGATAGGAAAGAAGAAAAACAGGACAGAAATACATATAAACATATACCAATAGGCAGATTTCAATACATATTACTATACAAAAAAAAACATCAGGAAATAAATGTAAGAGTTATAACAAGAACTTTTCTTATTAACTTCTTCAGTTCTACGCACGTAATTCACTAACTGACATCTTATATACATGTAATTACTTAATAAACTTTATATCACCAATTAAAACTATGTTAAGTAATAATTTCTGCTATAATCTAACTTGAATCTGGATATTTTATGATAAAACTAGAAAACTATAAACATTCAGATCATAGTGGTTACGAATGTCCTGGAAAAAGTTGAGCACCGAGTCTGATTGAGTCAAAACAAGATATTTTTGAACGTTTCGCTGTTTAAGCCACAGCTTTTTCAGCAGAATATACGGAATTTTTTTACTAACATCAAAATATATAATCAAATCCTCGATGAATTTTTCATCAATAACTTGTGTTCATTCATCATACTAATTTTAAGGGTCTACAACTTTCTTCAATACAATTAGCTTCACATTTCAAACATTTAATTTTGTAGACACGGTTGTTCTGTGTCATCTTAGAAATTGCATCTTTCACGTTGACTAAGATCTTTTCTTGTGAATTTGAAGGCTTTGAAATAGACCTTAATATCATGCGAGGTGAACATGTTTAATCTGTTCAGAAGTACCTTTCCGATATGGTATCATCATAGGTGACGCCAATGATTTTGTTGTACCTTTATAAGTAGTAGTAGTAGTAGTAGTACTTACTGTTTCACTCGTTTGACCGATAATGTTGTTCAAGAACTTTTTTGGGGTATCCATTTTCCATTTCATTTTATATAACATTAGGATCGGTTACGATGTTTTTCACCCTGTTTAGTAGGTTCAGTGTGACACTAGCCTTTATGTTAGTTGGATGATCCGCTTAGAAGTCTAAATATTTATCGGAATGTGATGGTTTCCTGTATATTTTTTTTTATACTGAATTTATTTCCAGTCTTTCTTTGGATAAGAGATAATCTAGAAAGTTTAGAGTGCCGTCCTTAAATTCTATTACACTAGTAAATTTAATGGAACTTGAAATCGAATTTATATGCTCTAAATATTTCTGTTGACTTAGTTTTTTAAGAATGACAAATGTGTCATCCACTTATCTCTATACCAAATTCTGGGTCAGCATTGAACATTTCTTAGAGTTCTTTCTTTTAAAGCTTTCATATAGAGATCCACCACAATTGAAGATACTGGTAAACTCATTGCAACTCCATTCGACCATAGTTACATTCTATCTATGAGTGTGAAATATGTAGATTCTAAGCAAAAGTTCAACGATTTTATAATATCCTCCGTATATTCTGCTGAAGAAGCTGTGGCTTACACGGAGAAATGTTCAAAAATATCTTGTTTTAATTTTCTAAACATGATGCAATTATGCTAAATTATATTCTTAAACTAGAAAACATTGCTACTTAAAATATGAACTCAGTACATTTGAGATCACACGACCACAATCTTCGCTTTTTTTATATCTCTGAATTATCTCTAATAGTCTCTTAAGTTATTGAATGTCATGATCCTATCCGGAGATCTGAGATGCATGAACAATGTTAAACTGATATAACTGCCTGGTTTTAGTGTCCTGCTACGTTCATACTTACCGAAAGAAATCAAACGTGTGAAACACCACAAATATCTTATGAAGACACTATACCATTAGCAATATTATTGTTAAACAGATTTCAGGTGTAAGATAAACGCTACTTAACGGAGATACGCACAAAAATAGTCTAAGATATGTTTACAATAACGCTCAAAGTATACTTATTTGGATGAAGAAAGAATAAAGCATTTTTCTGTACAGATTACAATTAGGCTGGAGCCTTGAAGATGGTCAAGATAAGTGTCCGTAAACCATAATAGTTAACTGAATCATAAGTCATAGTCGATTTTTAACCGGTTCTGAAATGGATTTGCAGAATTTCTATGTTGGTAGAGCCTAGATTCGCGTAAAACATTGTTTACTAGTCCAAACAGTTTTAAACTGTCATTTTCGCGCTATTTGTACGGCATGGTCAATAGTTTATTCCCTCTCCCCCCATTTTCAAGGTAATTCGCCGGTTGGTCAGTGCTGTGTTGATGTTTCAAATCCTAGACAAGGTCATATGTCATGTACATATACAAACGTTTTAGGGTTAATTGACTATTTTTCTCGGAGGAATAAACTGTCCCAGCCAGTTCAGTCTTCTTTATTTCGTTCGGGTTGGAGTCTGTGGGTCTTGAGCGCCAAGCTAGCTGCCAGTCAAGCGTGTGCATTATGTCCTCTCATAAATATAACAGTAGCAAAGTGTAGGGCTAAACAAATTGGAATTAGGAACGGAGGAGCACACGTGACAGTGAAATATGGCAATGTTACAGTGCACATCTACAGATTCCAACTTAGTGACTGATTAGTGCAGTGTCCACTGGAAAGTCTGAAGATTCTGGGCTTCACTGTGAATATAATTGGGATGCATACTGCGGAAAAAGTCCAAGTTAGGTCGAAATAGCAATTTAGTACTTTACAATTTCCAAACCTATACATTATGTAGGCCGTCAATGAATTCCACCACAAATGTTAAATGATTGAATTCGTTACAAACACTAAAGATTAACAGAGTCAAATGCAATTCTCTAAATAATTCGCTTTCAATTGTCTCTAAAACCGATAGTCAGGAATTACCGGCTAACCCAACCGGGGTAGCATCCAGATTCTGTTAATCTGAAGTTATCCCATGAGAATGATCTTGACTGTGGGTCACTTCATTCTATGCAAAAGAAGAGAATTTCAGAAACTATTCCCCTTCAAAGAGAACAATGCAATTTACATAAATTGGCTCTTACGAATGAATGTAAGTACGATTGAAAGACAATAAAACTGAAGAGAAGTATTTCCAGTAAAATAACACATATGGAACGATATCCGCATGATAAATCTGTAACAGTCGCTAAAAGTTTAATCGACAGAACTAATCACCTTGTTACAAAAGAAGAAATGTAGAGTTAGAGTTAGTTTGCTACACGCTTAAAGCCCAAAAAGAATTTCCATGTTAATAAGATAGTAAAACTCCCTCTGATGAGTTAAACTAACGCCATGCTAACTGTATATCGTGCAAAGACCTCGAAAGGAATGGGAAGAATTCTTAATAGTTATGATGCTGTTTGGTTTATTCTGACTAAAGTTTTTAAAAATAATACCGAATAAAGGTGTTTACGTGACACTGGATTATGATTTTTTACTAATGTAGGATAATTTAAACATTCAAGTCATGCTCCATGCGACAACCGAAATCCGTGGCCGGAAAATGAAAACGATACGGTTTGGAATCGATTGCAGTAGAGTAGACACATTTACACGTTATTTTTAATCCAATCACCTTGTAACATTTTGTTGTTTGCTCTATGCCCTATTCTTCTCTTACCACTTCCTACGACTCTAGATTACACTATTCCTTTTTCTCTTTTGTCGCTTTGTATCTTGATGTGCTGGTGTGAGGTATACCTTCTTGGACCGTTATGCGATGGTGCTACATCTAATATTGATATTGATTGACTCCCTATGAAATAAAATATCTGATTATAATGTACCATCCGTAAGAGACCTCTAGAGAAGTAAGTATCCTCGTGAAGGAACGTCCATAGGCGATCTTTTAAACTATAGTGCATCTTAACAAGCTAGAAAAACAACCACCGGTCACATCATATGTCTCAATAACCGGATATAAAATTGACAAAACGAAACGCTTTTAGATTAGCCAAAGAAAGAGTGACTAAAGAGGCCCTAAATATAAGAGAAAATCATATTTTGAAGAGATGGGACAAAGTGCAGTTATGAATTGCTCAGTAAGAAAGATACGTTTTACATTCACTTTAATAATCAGTCTCGTCTTCATTAATTGTTCAGTGCTCGCTGTAGAATAACCTATTTCATGTTACCTGATTTTAAATTTTCATCCAATTTCATGGAACAATTTTTCAACGTGGCCCCTTAACTACGAGAGTTGGTATGAAGACACATCCTTGATAAATGTTAGGCGGTGTAATCCAATCGATAATAAACCATGGATCCGTTCGTCTTCTCTATATCCCCCATATTCCATAATAACCGATTCCATATATTTCACCTTGTCTATTTTGTAACCTTTACCGGCGCATAGGTAACATTTCATATGACCCGCTACCGCTCTCATTGGCTCCTGCCTCTTTAAATGTACTAATTAGTCCTTGCATTTCAAGATTACTGTAAACTCTATAAATAGGATCAGTTTTCACTAATAAACGTGTTCAGTCCAAGATACTATAAACTCATCTGATTTCCAGTATTTTGATTTCTCTTTACGAATTACTCGGGTTAAATCATCTCAACCGTTGACTATCAATCGCTTGCTTACAGTTTGGCTCCCTCTATCAATAGGTTGGTTAATAGCATCACTGATTTTATCTATGATCCAGATCCAATGTTACTTTTGAAACTTGGTATAGACACTTTAAAGAACCTTTCAAATTTGATTTTGCTGGTCAGGATGATAGTTGGAAAGTCCGCCTTTTACTCCGGAAACTTGGTTCTGCAGAATTCAATACCTACAGCAATCTCATACTACGACAAAACTCACATTTGACAAAACAATCAAATCATCAAGCCAACATTTTGGTGACCGTTCATCTCTCTTTAACATCTGCTTCCAATGTATGAAGCTAACAATGAACTATCATGATGATTTTCAAACACACGTTGGAGTTGTTTATCAAGATTGTGAACGACTTCGACTGAAGACGCTATCTGATGACCAACTGAAATCACTAATCCTTATATGCAGTCTTCATCCTCGAAAATTCTCTGATATTCGCACTCGGTTGCTTAGTTGCCTAGACGAAGATCCTAAGTTGACTCTCAATCAAATAGCAGACGAATCCCAACGGTTGGAAACTCTTCGACATGATGCCGCATTGGTTCAGCCTGATAAACCCAATTATGTCCACACCGTCTGCCAGTCATCCATGTATTCTTCAACTCTGAATTCTGGCCCGACCAAATCCGAATTATCAAATTATACACCACCTTCCTCACGCATGTCCGATACTTTCCACAATATATAGAAGACTCCGCCCTCACCTTGTTTGCTATTTGGTGCCTGGTACTACATCAGGTCTTGCCCATACAAACAACACCGTTAACGTCAGTGCAACATCGTTAGAGACAAAGATGGCTGCTGCAGCTTACGCCGTTCACAAATATTTGGTCTGCCCAAGGAAACTTAGTCCCGGAACTACTCGAAGCCGATTGGGGGATCCATGCGCATAGCAGACACAAAGAAAGTTTCTGAAGGTATCGATCAATAACTATCCAGCCAGTCTGCAGTTGGACGCTGCATCAGACATGACTATCATTTCTAAAAAGCTCTGGCGTGATATTGATTCACTATTTCCACAGAGAGCAGCAAAGACCGCATGGAGTGCGTGTGGAGGCCAACTCCCATTGTCTACTAAGCTCGTATGTAATTTCTTCTCCAACGGTCATTTAATTAACAGAACATGCTGTATTGTTAAAGCCAATCTAAATTTACTGGGTTTGGATTGGTTTGACCGTCTGAGGTTATCAGACATTTCACTCAATACCTCCTGTAACCAGGTGCAAACACCATCCCAATTTTCCGAGGTCATTGAAAAAGTTGTAAATGTTTTCCAATCTAATTGTGGCCGGTTCACAGAATCTCCCGCTGTATTATGTCTTCATTCTGGTTCCAGCATAAGTTTCCCCCAGAGGATACAGGTGCCCTATGTCCGCTCCTCAACAGTCATCATCAGCAGAAGCACCGACGAGGCGCAGACTGAGCACAACACATCATGTTACAATGCCTAGAACTTCTAAACCACCTTGCACTACAGTAAGTAATGTACGAGCTCTATCGGTAGGTTCCACCGTTTTTGTATGCAACTATCGACCAGCGCATGACAAGTGGGTTGATGGGTCTATTGTCCAACCAAGTGGAAAGGTAACGTATGGTTTTCGAGTAAAACGTAAAATATGGAGGCATCACTACAATCAACTGCGCCGACTACACGCATTGGGGAAAGTTGAAAATCCAAATAACCTACCACTGGATACGCTCAAATCACCACCAACTTCCATGGACTGTCCACAGAACCCTCAATCTTTGATAAACGTAGATCTACTCCGACGACGGACTGACCGTCGTCGATGACCATCAGTGCTCCTACAAGTCAACCCGAAAAGAAGTCGGTATTAAGTCTTTCAAAAGGGGAGTATGAAAACAGTTGCTAATACACCTTACTGAGGAATGTGAACAAGCATCAAATCTATTTTCTATTATGAAGCGGAGTTGTGAGAACGAACGAAAATACTTAACGATTGATAGTCGACGGTTGAGATGATTTAACCGAGTAATTCGTAAAGAGAAATCAAAATACTGGAAATCAGATGAGTTTATAGTATCTTGGACTGAACACGTTTATTAGTGAAAACTGATCCTATTTATAGAGTTTACAGTAATCTTGAAATGCAAGGACTAATTAGTACATTTAAAGAGGCAGGAGCCAATGAGAGCGGTAGCGGGTCATATGAAATGTGACTGATGTGCAGAAGTAGGAAGTAAGGCAGTTGAAATATACGGGAACGGTATGTATGAAATATTCGGGGTATAAGAATCCCTAACAGCAACGTCGAGGGAACTGATCTCGAGATTTTCATGGAGATTGTTTCTAAATGTATAAATTTATTACTTGCTTTGGCAACAACACTATACAATCTGAATTGACTTGATTGCGTTTACATATTTTTCACAGTTGGATTTTGATTGTTTCGCTAAATTTCAAACTAAGGTTTTGCGAAAAACAGCGGAATTATCCTACTTCATCCTAATATAACCTAACCTAGTGTGATCGACATTAAATTAGTACATAAGGGTTTTCAGTTTGAATTCAAGATACTAGCAATTGATTTTTATGAAATGGGAAAAAACTTGTAGCTCCAAATAAGGATGATGGTGGTTTGGTGTTCTCTGGGCTTTGATATTTTGTCGTGATCGTTTCATCACTAGGCTTGGTGACATCTTCAGCACTAACTTCATAAACAAGTGAGGCATAATCTAGTATCACATGAATGTGTAGATTGTTTTTATTGACTGTGGATGATATTCAATTGTAAGTTGGGGAAGAATTTTTTATCACACCCGGACTTTTTAAGAGTGGATCCTTTGGTTCGCATAAATGCTGTGTAGTGATTTCGTTGGTTTTCGTACTACTACGAATCCGAAAGGACGACGATTGCTTCGTCCTCTCGGAGACATAGTAGCACACAAACTAATGAAATCACTACACAATATGTTGTGCAAACCGAAGTCTTCATCGCCAAAAGAAGATACGACAAATACCATCTACTAAATTAATTGCGAAAATAGTTCACAGCATTATGTTGGCCAGTCTAGCCGTTGGATTTCTCAAAGAATTTATGAACACCAACTAGCAGTAAAGCGACATGACGCGGCCTCCTTGGTTTCAGTGCATACAGACAATCACGATCACAATTTAGACTGGGAGAATGTGGAAATCATCTAAACAGCAGGGTCCAGAGCCGTCAGAGAATTTTTAGAAGTATGGCACTCAAGCGAAATGTCAATCAATAAACATGTGGATATAGACCCAATCTACGATGTACTTAGGAAGAGAACAGTCATCCATCAACCAAGGGCAAATTGACCTGACAATTTAATAATGATCCACACTGTGACAACAACAAACAGCACAATTACGCTCCAACAAAAAATACCTAATGACGTGGTTGAAGGGAATTTATGGTCGAAAAGGTCGGTGCGATAAAAAAAAGTTCTTCCCTAACTTACAATTGAAAAACATCCAGTCAAAAAAACAATCTAAACACTAGTGTAGTACTTAAATACGCTCCACTTCTTTATGAAGCTAGTCCTGAAGATGTCATTAAGCTTAGTGATGAAACGTTTACGAAAAAATATCAAAGCTCAGAGAACACCATACCACCAGTTGATGCCTATGTTTTCATAAATGTGAGTTGATTCATGTTGCTGGTGTTGAGTTCTGGTTGTTTGAAACTTGGTATGGGATTTCAGTCAGATAAAATGAACTGAACTTAAACTTTATGAGTTGGAGAATGTAATTAAATGTTAAATATGTAAGTAATTTGCCGCCAAGGAAAAGCAATAACAACAACACTTGTGCGAATCACCTGACTATTTCATTCGTCTTGTCGACAACTTGGTGGGATGAAAACTGAATCGCAAAGTAACTGTGAGGTGTTTTGTCTTATCATAAACATAATGAACTTACAAGCATTGTCTCCAACTAGATTGCCAGACTCAAATGGTTGCGCTAAATCAGCAGACATTTGAAGGTGAGGTTCTCGAAGACCATTTCCACTGAACGTCTGACTTGCATGGTGCTTCCTTGGCGAGCTATTTTCTGAATCAGGGATAATTGGTGCTTTTAGTGAGTTTCCTGAATTAATAGGACTTTCAATTGGTTCCGCTTGTTTCGGTTTATTTAGTTCTAAGTCTTGTTCCAATAATTCATACGCTTTAGTCGTCTTATATTCACTCTTTATGGTTTTCAATGAAGATGGAATAGAGTTTTGAGTAGACTGTGTTGGGATTTTGGGAGAAGTAACTAATGGAGCTAACTGAAAAATTACATTAAAAATAAGGTCTATCACTTACTTTTGGAGATGCAGAGACTGCTGTAGAAACATGGTGCGGTGTTGAATTAGATTCAACAGCTGACAACTATAAAATTCATTTTCATACATTATCTCATCGACTACTTACTTTCATAGAAACCTTAATCAATAAGTTGTCATCCGTAGTGTTGTGTGGAGTCACAGATCGGTGAGTCTCCAAGGCATATATTTGGTGGATTAGTAGTATATGCGTCAGTTTGAGCATAGAATGGTAATTCACTATACCAGAAAAGTGGAAACGAAACAATATAAATAAATAGTTGTGTTTATTTACGTATTTAGATATGCTAAACGAATTATTGATTTGCGAATCATGGAAATGCAACGGTTAAAGAGAAACCATAATATGTATTTCGATGAAAGAAACACGAACTAATTTGAGGTCATTTTTCAATTCAAATTTTCGATAAACACCATAATGGTTCTTTCAAAAATATTCTCCAAGGAGTATTGACGGTCTCAATAATTATAGCTGAACCTGTTGCGCTGATGATACTATCTAATTATCCCACAGTCCAATGTATGGCAATCAACTGCTCAAACTTGAGACCGAAGATCCTAAATAGTTACTACCAACAGCATTCTCATGAGGAAACAGGTGAAATATGTTGAATTGAAAAATAATGCGGCAGCCACTAGGTGACGAGGAGTCCACCAGGTCTGAATGCAAGTAGGAAATAAGTTGATTTTAGTGACACGATTCATTTTCATCGAACTACTGCGAGTTATCAAACTGACGTAGTGAAATATGAGGATGTTATACTGAGTAACTTAGAAGACAGTTACGTTTCAAGTTGGGCATGACATGCTACATATTTCTTAGTGTCGCTTATATTAACGTAGTACTGAGATGAAAAAATAGAGCATGGAGGGATCTACCAGTACGGACACAGAAATGTTATTAATTTACGAAATATTGATTGCTTTCATGAAGCAAGTGTGTAGTCTTTGACTGACGAACTTATTTAAAATCTACTTAGCTGAGTCTGGCACCATTTTCAACCGTAAAAGTTATTTAAAAGTCTATGCATCTTGCCTTGCTTACTGAACTTCAGTTCCTGTGAGTTTTTCTGTTGGCTGCCGTGTGCCTATCTGTTAGGATATTGCGACTTTCAATTATTAAGGGAGATTCAAAAAAGACGTTCAAGCCCATTCCACACCTATAATCACATTTAACTTCCGAGACGTTTAGTTACTACTCGCTAATAAATACGATGCGTTAACCGTATGTTGTGCACAAACTTATCAGCGAATTAATTGTCATAACTACACGCTGCATTTCATCCGCAGCAATGTTGACTGGAAATTCGGAACGAGTTTAACATGCTTCAATTTTTTGTTTTTTATTCAGAAACACTAGCTGTCCGTTTGGTTTACAAGTTGGAACAAACCTCAGAAGATTCGTCAAAAATCTAGACATAACGAAGTTGAAAAGGATTCACAGTTTTCTTACAACTCCGTCTACATGTAATAATCAATCCATAGATAAATTTGAGTGTAAAATATATGCTTAGTATATGAGCACTACTGTTTGTTTTGAAACTGCAGATCATATTCTAACACCAGTTGAAAACGTTTTATGATGTATATTGCATCAGAAATACATGACTTAACTACCTTGCGGCGGAACGTCTGGGAAAAAAGACGAACCAAGAACATGCATCTGGAGCTACCTATGAAAACCTATTAACACTTTGATCACTACAACACACTTATTTACTAGAAGCTATCAGAACTTACAGGGTTACTATCTATGAAATAAACTATATTACTGTGTGTAAACACTCGTGCCGTCTGGGAAACCTTTATTGTGCACCATTACGGGACTAAATTTCTCAGTAGTTTGGGGGAAAGTGGTATACGTAGCAAAGCGGGTAGGCTGTTATACCTAGGTGGAAAACATACCCGTCAACATTTCCGTCAGGCCAAATAAGGCAAAGTTGGGCGATGATATAAGATCAATGTAGTGGACATGGGGCCAAGTGTAAGGCCAATAAGGTCAGACGTAGGGTCATCATAGAAAATTCAGGACCACACACTGAGTTAGTTGTAAAAACTTAAGGCCAAAAGTAAACCCTACTGGCGGCAGGCCTGACGTATGTGTGTTATGAAACCCTGCGTTGTGCCCTACATCCGCTCCGACATTTTCTATAGTTAATGGCTCAACATTGCACTATTTAGGCGGACGAAAACATTGACACAGCATGATAAGAGCCATTGAATATGGAGTCAAAAGAAATAATCCAGTAGAAAATGAGCAGCTACATTGGAGTATGATTGCATGTCCTCCTGTAGGGCAAATATTTGTTCTGAATTGAACACATATAGCATCTTCATTGAAGCATAAACTAGGTTGCGGAGCTCTGCAGTTACGTACTATAATTTTTCAATACCTTAACTCCCACGCAATTTCACATAATACTAGAATTTCATGACACCAATAACTTTAAACTGTCTATGGGCAATATACGGACTCTTACATCAACATCAATAGTGCGAGTAGAGGGAACCTGTACTTTTTGAGCTCTCACTTCTAGGTCTTCAGGCTCGGTTCTTTTCGTTCGGTGATACTCCTTTGGTGGTTGAAGAAGTCATAATGTTTTTCTTCCCTACAGCTTCAGAGGTAGACTGTCTATTTGAAAGTATTTTTTCTTGCAAATTGTAGCTAGGTTTGTTTGGGGGAGCAGTGAAGCTGCTGGTACGAACAATTAACCTTTTGCAGTTCATGTTTTTGCAAGGACCTGCAAATAACTATTAAGCGTCACTTGATAAGTGCTAGAGATAGAGTGGGGAATGAGAAAAGAAGAGTGAAAGGTACTTATAGGAAAATAAGTGTTACTGGTAATAATATGGAGAAGGAATTCGTCTTATTGCAAATACTAGGTTTTGGGAATACAGGGGGTGGATAAGCGCATCTTCAGTTGCTACCAACAAATGTTCGTGGTGAGCCGTCTGAGCTCACGTACTTACCCAGCAGTCGTTTGAAGGAGTCAACTGATGTAGCTGTGGCTACTTTCTTTGGCAGGGTGTTCCACAAACACACACTACGTGAGAAGCTTGATCTCATTATCGACTTTTCCCTGTGGTGGTATGTGCGAGTGGGGTCTCCGAGAAACTCGGTTTTGGGACAATAATACTGACCTGTTTGGATGGTCCACTCGGTGCATGATCTTGTATGACGTTATCATGTCATCTCTTTTCTTTTGACAGCTTATTGTGAATAAGTTGAGTTGTCTAAGGTCTTGAGCATATGTTTTGCCTGTTAGCCCGACAACCGACCTTGTCGCTTTTCTCTGTACCTTCTCGACAGTACTCGAGTTAATATTTAGTAGAGAGGGTGTTGTCTAACACAGGTTCCAAATATCATTAGGAAAAATCTTGGTGTTAGTGCTCCAAGCTGCCTTCTTAGAAAGTGCATGATGGCCTTCGCCTTTGCTGCCATCCGCAGAGCATTCAAAAGTTTTAATCAGGATATATTCAGAATACTCCATCCCAGGTCTCACTTAGAATGCTGAATCCAGGCAGCAAGCCCATAACTAAAATAGGATGCTGACGTCTTGAGGGTGTTTGAAGGGTGGGTACTAAGTTTGTACCAGCCCTTTCGAATCTGCCCGATTAGGAATGACTAGGTCACCTAAATTTATTTCTACTGCCTTATCGTAAAAAACGGGTGATCCCATAGTGGCATTCCGTATCTTCAATTAAGAATTCGGTACTGATATATCCTGCCTTTTTTCCCCTGTTAGGATTGACTACCTTCAAGCGTATCACAAGAAAATCCAAAAACCGCGATCGAATCAACTTAGCATGAATCTGCGTTTCTCCCATCATGTGATCAACGACTGAAACTTACCTCAACAGCACCTTTTGTCAACGCGTTTAAGGAGAAACTAGATCTTCACGGAGATATCTTCTGCAAGAATAAACACAGGCCAACTATCTTTATAGCTGCAAACTGCTATTTCCGTATAGTTGAGTCCATATATATAAGTATTTATTAAATAAATAGCTTCTTGAGGCTAAATCTACATTCATTTAGTTACCGAATAATTATACGAAAACACTCATTGCAAAAACTACCCTGCAAGTTACTTACTTCTTGAAATAACCAGACATATGATCCTTCAGTATCCAATATCTTTTTACAAGCTAGTGTAAACCGATTGATTTCTTCGCGCTCGCTTCTAGGTCTTGCCGAACGGTTCCAGGTTTTTGGTGGATTCCGATGCAGTAGGTCTACCCACTAAACTGCGGTAGCTCTGGTTAGCCCGACGGGCGGTTTGGTGTTGGTTATATTTGTAGGAAGTGTTGTTTGTTTGTTTTTTCTTTCGAGGAATGTAGTGCAGATGGGTTCCTCAAGTGCCGTGCCAGCAGGCAAGTGGTCGGAATGGTTCTTAAACGGAGACGAAAAATATGTGCAGAGAAATCAAGGGAGAGGTAGTGCAGAGAAAAACAAATAGAAAAGGAAAAGGAAAAAGATTAGGAGAAGGAAGAAGAATAAATTGCATGATAGGACGAATGGGAACATAGTAATTCTTTTAGTAGGAGACGGTAACTGGAGGGGACGTCTATAGGAAGGCATAAGGTTGAGCCAAGCTCCCAGTGATAGTGGTTTTACAAACTGTTCAGTAATAAGTGTTCAGTGTAAAGCAATTGATTGCTTCGCACTCGCTTGCATTACCCCTGTTATGGACAAGCAAATCTCTTCTGCATTCATGTTTTTAGCTTCGGTGGGGTGAATGATGTGCAAGTTAGTAGTTGCTATTTGTAGAGTGATTGGAGGGCTACGGGTTACTGATAAGATTAGTGGTCTTCCGTGACTCCGGTTTGTGAATATGCCTGAATGGGGATAGCAAAATGGTAGGAAACGGTATATAGTATGGGTCTAGTCTCTGGAAAAGTGTTGGCAAATGATGTGGTTTTATCAGACGAGAGAGATAGCGAGCGGCAAGCGGTAGTGGTAGTCTAGTGAGGTGGGTAATTCCCTGAGCACGTCTGTGGTAAGTTATGGGACATGACGTAACTGTTTGACCGTCTTTTGAGTGAGTCTACTGAAGCGGGTGTGACTACATTCCGTGGCAAGGCTTTACACAATTCACATATTCTTAAGGATAAAAAACTGGGCCTAAGTCTGGCGATGAGTCTCTGATACGTCATCCTGTTGAGGTTTGCCCAGGGTGACCTAAATGTCTCAGGCAAAACTATTTTGTTTACGTGACCTGCCTGACAGGTGATCCTGTAGGCTACATTAGGATCACCCCTCTTTCTGCAACAGCCCGAGCTGAATGGGTTTATGTGTTTCAGCCTCTCAGAGCATGCTTTCCCCCTTGGTCCTGCAGCTGATTTTCCAGTACGTCTTTGTATTTTCGCAAGGAGATCGAAGTCTCCTTTGAGTGTTGGAGGTGCTAAAGTATTGAAAGCCTCCTGGTGCAATCGTAGGTGTGGTCTGAAAACTGTGAGAAACAGTTCACAAGTGAGAGCACCAAGCTGTCGACACAGAAATTGCAAAGTAGTATTCGCTCTCGCTGTTATTTTGTCGCAGTCAGGGGTGAAATTCAGGGCGTCTCGGAACTATACCCAAAGAATCCTTTTCCGTGGATGCTTTAGTGAAAGCACGGTCGCTAAACGCGTATTCGAATTTTGCTGTCCTTACTTCGTGACTTCTGATGTGCATTACTTTCCTCAGTTGAAGCTCAAGCCATTTTCCAACTACCTGAGTACAAGCCTCTGCAGGTCATTTTGGAGTGCTGTACAGTCGGCCCCTTTGTTTACAACCTCTCACCAAAGTTTAATGTCATCGGAAGAGATTGGGATGGGCGAGGAAATTTTATCCAGCAGATCGTTGACGAACAAGAAGAACAGGAGTGATCCCAGGATCGTTGCGTAGGATATTACTGATGTTGATGGTCTTCATTCCTACCGTTCTCTGTTTACCTTAGTGCTGAGCTGTCTCACATCTGGCCATTCTCTGAACCAAGGAAGTAGAGGTTCGCTTATACCGACTGACACGGTCTTCTGAGGCGTGACTATGGCCGAGGCTCTGTCAGACGCTTTAGCTAGGTCGAGAAAAATTGCATATACTGGTTTTCATCTGTCTTAGCCAAAAGTCTAGTCGTCGCAGTCAGTCACCAGAGTGGTGGCACATGAACGACCACTCCGAAGGTGATGCTGAACAGTATGGATGGTGTTTTCTTTGTTACGGAATTCCTAGACCCCGTCAGCTATCAGGTTTTCAAATACCTTTAACAGGATAGGGAGTCAAGCGTGCAGTCTGTAGCTGCTGGGTCTTATTATGTCCCCACTCCTGATGATAGATGACAGGACCGTGCACTCCTAATCTTTTAAGGGGTCTCAGTGGCCCAAGCAGGTGTTTAAAGAGTTTTCAGATTGGCCTTGCGTGCTCCTTGAAGCAGATTTTCAGGGTTCCCGGTCTCAGGTAGTCGCAACCTTAGGATTTACCCGGACGGAGCCTAGATAGTTCTTCTGATCCTTTTTATGTGTGATGGGGGTGTGGTAGAGGTACACATTATTCATGGTGTGAGCAGTACCGTTTAGTGACGGTGCAGAGTTGGTGTGAGTACTAAGTTGCACGTCGAAGTGTGAACTTAGAAGCTCAGACGTCTCTCGACTGCTAAATACATCCATACGATAAGACTTGTTCCCTTGCTGGTCGACTGCTTTGAGGAGAGGGAAAGGCAAAAGTTTTTGGTGCCACTCTGTAATCTCCTCTCCAGGCCTTTGACAGCCAAGCCTGTCACCACAGACTCTTGTGCTGCACTGGCTGAGAATTTATTCTTAGTTCAAAAGGTCAGACTCCCTGTGTGATGAGCGCCACTCAAACGAAGCCTGTTATTCGGTCCAAAAAGGCCTCTCTGTCCCATGCCTTGGCCGCGTAGTTCTCACTGACAGTCATCGTGTTGCCTGCGACACACACATCAAGGATTATTTCCTTCACCTGTGTAGTGTTCATCCATTGTGAGATGAGTCTGGCTGTCAGACCATGAAGCATTCATGTGGTAATTCCTCATGGTCTCATGGTTGACCATGCTGTTGCAACAAGGGGTGTTGGGCACCTCCTGTTGCAGAGCCACCCTAGCAATCATACAGAAAGTTATTGCCACGTGATCACTAGGATCGAGGGGCAGTTGAACACGTGTCCCTAGTAGGAAGGTCATCACTCACCAGAATTTAGTCCAGGTACGTATCACCTCATCACGTCTCGATGTGTGGCGTCAGTCACCTTCTCTGAGAGGCCGACGGTCAAAATTCCTATCTTCCGCTGTGCCCACTTTCGTTTCGAATGGAATGAATGGAGTGTTGAGGTCACTGGCCAATGTCTATGGAGCCGTAATCCGAAGAGAAAGTCCCCTAGATTGCCTTGATTACGATTTCCTGATAAGTAGGGGGCTGTTGGGGGCCGATTCATCACCACAGTCCGGTCTGAGACGATAGAGGGTGACGTAGCACCATGAAGATCCCAGGAGGCGAATCAAAGCCGTGTCGTTGAGGACTACTGTCTTTAAACAGGAGCTTGCATGGAGAGCCACCCCGCCCGTCCCGTCCTGAGCCTTCTTTTCAAACAGAAGAGCTCCGTACCAGTGATAAGCAACTCTGTGCCAGAACGGGCCAGCAAGAGCCTGGATTCTCCAGCAAAAATGACGTCAGTGTACGGGCGCTCGTGGAGCTTTCTTATCTCTGCTGTTTTCCCTCTTAGTCCCCTCACATTGCTGTACATGCATGTTTGGGTAGGCCTAAATGGAGGAAAGGACTGGCTACATAATTCTGTGACGAGAGCACTTACTTGACTGGGTCTACGGTCCTTAGTCCTCACGGGACTGGTCTCACCACCTACTCTATTGCTTTACTTTCAGTTTGCGTGGAGACTTCAGTACCAGGAACGTCAGCACATGAGGCACCCGACTCACTGGCTCGTGTCTGTGTGACAACTATCGATCCCGGAATTCTTGGTGGCTGCTGCCCCTTTTCTATCCTGGTGGGTCTTGGATTGCACTCATGCACACGTATTGAGCCGCCCACAGTCTTACACGTTACATCATGCGCGTAGAATGCCTGTGAGGGAGGCACATGAGTCAAGTTGGATGGCGGGGAGTCCAGGAATGGGAATGAACTTCAGGTATGTTATTCGTGGCAGGTTTTGCCAGCCGGTATATTGTCACTGCCAACTTCGTTTAAAATCCATTGCCTTTGTCGGAGGTCGTGGAGGTTCTGAGTACAAGAAATGCGTTTGCTTGACAGTTCCGTGGTCCCGTGTAAGACTAATATGCTGTTTCCACTTGGATTCCCAACTGATAATCCTCTCTCCTCCTCTCCCAGTGACCATGATTTGTCACAGTTAGCCCAGATTTTCCAGTGTTGATAATGTCCAGTCGATGCGACGTAAAACAGACATCTTCGGCTTCCCTCGTGGGGCTTAAAGGTGCTCGTTAGGGCAGTGGCTTGTCTCAAGGTGCCCAGCCTCTGCTAGAAAGTCGATGCAGTGTCATAGAGTGGGGAGAGGGTTCTAGCATTTGATGGCAGTTGGCCCACGTTAGGCTGTCAAAGTGTTCTTTCTCGACAGACAGTGAGCCCTCTGACACGTCAACGTTGAAAGTGATGATCGAGTGGGATTCCCCATCACTCGTGTTCTTTAATGTGACACTCCCTATTTCCCAATGGGTTTGCCGCGCACTTTTCCTGGCTATCCCCTGGTCGCAGTTTCAAAGACACTTAAGCTGAGTTTTGTCGGGGGCCCAGTAGACAGTTTCTTTTCCCCGACACGTTGTTGCAAGGTAGAGAGTGTGGAAGTCCAACCTAGAGTGGTTTTTATGCTGTTGCGTGTACAAAGCTACGGACCTGGCTTTGTTTTCAGGCTCCTCCGTGTTGACCCTACCTTTGTCGATGATAACGGCTTTTTTGTGATGGAGGGCAACTTTTTGGGCCCCACATTTGGAGTGCGGCAGACGTATCAGAACTTTCCCCCGGTCGTCGCTTGACGAACATATAGTACTCTAGGAACAGCCTGCTGTCACGGTGGCATTTCATCTGTCAGTGACATAAGTCCCATGAGAATGCCTGACTGACTGCCGTTACAACTTAACTGTGAATATTTCAGTCAGGTGTCACGGTGCAACCTACTTCCATTAGAGAAGATGCCATGGCTTCTGATGAACCGCTTGTGGATGCCTTATTCCTGCGCTCGCCATGCCACTTCCTTTTGTTAAGCTTAGTCTGATTCCCTCTGGGGATGAATTGCCTTGTGACATATTGGGGCTGCTCCGTGTCGTCTATGTGGTAGCTATGGATATCCTGAAGGCTGGAGTTTACTTTCTCTCGAGGAGACCGGCATTCTTCCCTACCTCTAATTGGCCGTGGATGAAGTCTGGAATCTTGTTTCCAGGGTCGTCGTCCATCCTAGATCACGATCACGTTATCCGCATCAGTGCATCACATCTACCATCTTGGAGAGATCGAAGACTATGGTCTTCAGTCTAGCCCTAGCCCTACGTAGGGTACAGAAAGTTATGAAGCCTGTACCACATTTAGTCCAGACTGAAGATAGTCAACCAAAAGTAAAGTCGAACATTACCCACCAACCCGAAAGTCG